TCTCCCCCCAACTGTGAGCATGCGGCGCAATCATTCAGCTTCTGTGACAGGTGTGTGGTATTAACTGAAGGGAGATGAACTGAGGCTATGCATGCATGCATACATGTCTCGTCTGTGACAAAATCAGAGTTTCATTTCAGAGTCGGATTTTCATTCTCCCATCAAATCATCCCAACTTGGTTTAATAAGGCTTTTAAAATTAGTTTTACACTTTAATCGTCTTGACGGCAAAAAGCCTTTCTCACTGACAATGTCGGGACGTGTATATTTGATCGTCTGGAGCTCTTACACTAATAAAAGTCATTATCCTGCAATTAAAAGACACTGAAAACTAATAGAATTTATACAGTAGCCGGGGTCACCTCTGCAGTGTTTTTTTGGCTCCTAACAGTTGTTGCTGACAGTTTTCTGCCATTTTTAGCATCCCTTAAAATCAATTATAAAGTCAAGTGGCTTCCTATAATTGAATTTGTGCTGCGCGCTGACGTCCCCTGTTAGAAGTCACTGTCTTGTCCAATTAGGAGCAGCCTTATTACTGGCCAAATTGTGGGTGGCCTCTTTAATGTGGTGGGTTCATAGTTGGAGGGGGTAGGGCTATCCTTCAGCTGACGTATTAATGTTGACATCCTCCAAGAGTTGGCGGAGAAACGGGGATGAAGACTGTAAATTTAATTGACTGTCAGGATGTCCTTGAAGCTTCCCACTGCAAAAGCATGGCGAAAAAGTGGAAGAAGAAGAAAAGGAGAATAGATGCTGCTGACTGTGTGCTGTCGCATTAACACAAGGAAATAAAGAAGGGTGTCTAACTCTCAGGAAGACCCCCTTTCTACATCCCCCAAAGGCTTTTTTTTTTCTTTTAGAAGATGTATTACAAAAAATTAGAAATCAGGTGGAAGCAGCGAGCGGTTTGTCTTCTTGCAAATGTGGCTGCGCTCCAAACTTAGTGGGATACAGGTGCGTCTAATTAAATTTGAATAATGTTGAAAGGTTAATCTATTTTTGTAATTCAATTCAAAAAGTGTTCATTACACTGAGTGAAATAGTTCAAGGGTTTATTACTTTTAAGGTGGATGATTATAGGAAAAGAAAAAAGAAATGGCAAAATTCAGTTTCTCAGGAATATCAAAGACTACATAAAACCATGAATAAAAATAGAATTATGTGTACAACCTAATCCTTTATCTGTGACATTTTTTTGGTTTCCCCTTGTAAAGGGTTTCAGTGATGCATTGACCTGTCATGTAACATAACATGGCATTTGTTTTCATTCAGAAAATGTTTTCCTGGTTTTATGAAATCTTATAATTTTCCGAGAACAGTAGCTAAGAGTCATTATCCAAAATGAGCAGAAATAATATATTTAAAAAAAATAAACAATCATTAATGAATCTGAATAAAACATAATTTCTAATTTTCGAAAATAATTCCTAAAAATAATTATATTCCAATTTATTGAGATGAAGCTGCAACATGCGCATGAGTGAGAGAATCATTTTAAGTAAAATTTTATTATCGACTGTCAGAAAAGGTAAGCATCATTTGTCAGGGAGCTCATCACTGTCTGATGGAAAAACAGGCACTAATGAGTGTACAGCAGAAGAGACGAGGTGGGCTAAATTTGTCTCAATCAATGTCACGGAGTATCATTATGAAGCTACGTTTGCTACAAGCGTGCACAGGAGGGACATGTGTTAGCGGTTATGTTAAGGCCTGACATTTAGTGAGTGTGAAACTGGAATGTTTATTGCAACTTGAGTTGCTGAGGCAACCAATCAGTGCAGAGAAAAATTCAAAAGGTGGTTGCTTTTGATTGATGTAGGTGTGTAGATGCTACAGTGAATGGTGGAGTTTGTTTATTTTTGGAGAAAATGTGGAGAAAAAAAGTGTCTTCAGTGGCTACTGCAGCTCTCCAAAAGGTAAGGTTAACCAAGTTCTGAAAATTAAACAAGCAGTTAAACATCGACTGTTCACATGATTACCTGAGTTTCTGTCTTATGTCACAGAAAAAATACTAATGTGAGACAAAAGCAGATGTTTCAATTCTTTCAGTGACCCAAAATGATTTTCTTTTTCATAGTGTGATAGTTGCTTTATTTCCCTTGGCGGTTAATTGGGAAAACATGTAATTGCAAGAATATCAGGCAGATTTGACCCATATTTTCTTAATTTCCCTCCTTTTCTGTCATTGGAGCACCCCCATCCCATCACTCTCCAGCTGCTTTAAAATCTCTTTTTCTAAATGCTATATCAAATATGATCATAGCAGTTCTGACTGGAAATAATGGCCAAGCATGGGATGTTGCAAAAACTACTCAATTTGATATGTTGTGCAGCTCTAATAGTATGGATTATGGAGATAAATAATCACAAAAGAGTTCAAATAACATAAAACTTTATGAAAGCATCCTCATTGTTTTCTTACTTTGCATTGCATCCAATTTCTATTGATCCTGTTCTGGGTTTGGGCTAGCTGATCTCAAAAATAAGATGGATTATAACCTCTGATCAAAAAATATATATATATTCTGGGTAACCTTCTGCAATAAAATATCTTCTAATATTCTGAGATAAAATAAATAAGAGAAAATATTGCTTTCATCACCATCAGATTTTAAATGGTGATGATATGAAATATTTAAAGGCCCAAACAAACTTTTGTGTGTGGTCAGTAGGAAACATCCCATGGCTGACAGGTTATAAAAAGTATCACTGTTGATCATACGTTCAGCATTTGTTTCTCATGAGATTTTCCCAAATTGTGTGACTTTTCCTTCTCTGCCTTCACAGTTCTGCCACAAATATTGGACTAAACAATACCTGCATAGAACTGGACAATACTGCAAGGAATGAGACCATCAATCATCAGCGCCTACAATCACAAGAACCAAAGAAACCAAAATGTGACACAGCTTATAGATGCCACCCCAGCATAAAAACAACAGCACAGAATAACTATCTACAACAGCAAGAGAGGAGTTGTTATGGAGGCGATGTGCTGAATTAGCTAAAAATATCCATAATTATTCGGTTTGCCCAACCATTTAGACCATTCCAGCCCTCTAGCAATTCAGAGGTCTAATGGATACATACTACATATGAATTCAGAGGATTAGTATGACAGATATGCATTGTATGTTTCTGCACTGTTCCACTCTCTGAGACCAAAAGCAGACAAAGCATTAATCAAATGTGAGTGTTTTCGATGTAATAATCCACTTATTATTTGTTGTGTGCATGCAGCACTGAGAGAGGAAATCCAGGGATTGTGCATGCCAGCAGAGAGGAAAAGCCACTCAAACCCTGGATTTGCAGTCCCCCAAGGACGTCAATCAAGTCATTTAATTTTCCTTAAAAGGTGCAAATGAAAATGCGCCATGTTGAGAATTTTGAATTTTTTTCGATTTTTTATTATTTTCCACTTCAATATTTTATCTCAAATTTAATTTATGGCAAGAGTTTGGCCTTGGAACAGAAAATTAACATTGTAAATGAGCAACATCCAGCAAAATGACTTAAATATGCTATCAATTTCATGCAGATGCAGTACTTTGGAGAAGTGTCTGGGTGAAAATTCATCCGCTGTGATATAAAAGGTTCGTTATCCATAATTGTAAACACTCTATGGAAGATCTTGGAAGCCCCTAGGTGGGACAACCAGAAGTCTTTAAGTGGGAAAATGTGTTTTCACAAAATGGAGATTTTGCAAATCTCCATTTTAATATTTAATTTTTCTTCTTCTTTCTTTGTCATTTTGATTATCTTGTCTTTGGATTAGGTGCTGGTCATTTTTACCCCTTCAAAATGCATTTTGGCTGTTTTGTGCCCAGTTTTTGTGTATCAAACAATTACGCATCAATACCCACTAGGGATAAGTTTCATACCTACCCTGACAACCAACAATTTAAACTAATTTTCAAAGTCTCATTTAAGAAAATATGGATGTATGGTAGGATGTTACTCAGTGTTACTTTGGTTTGACAAAGTCTCCTAGTCGTTTGCATGGAACAAGAGGCAGGAGGGCCAAACAGATCAAAACAAAAATAAATAGGAAGTGTGTAAAAAACAATTGTCAGACATTATACAATCTATAATCAATCAATCACTGAAAAAAGGTAGTAGAAAACAATAAAATAGTAATGTTTATGTTGAAAACAATGACAAATTAGTAAGGGGGCAAAGAAATAGGTTTTCCATCACTAAACCTGGTTTTTATACTGAATTCAACATTTCCTCAGACAAAGAAACCCTAAATCATAAAAAAGCAAGCTTTGAACACAAACCTGCTCATTCTGGGTGTGCTCTCCCTTCCTGCTCCAGAAAAATAAAAATAAAGCAGTTTCAATACACCTTTCATTGCCCAAAACCCATTTCAAACAACAGCTCCCTAACTTGCAACCAGCGTGGCTTCTAATAAAGCTGTACAATCTAAAAAGGGAAGGAACAAAGGATGGGGGTCTGGCTCAAATGGGGTGTTCATTTATCAGTGGACACGATTCAAATCCTTGCTCCAGGCAATGGCTCGTGAAGCTTCGCAAGAGATAGCCCATCGGGGCTTCTGCTGGGAAAGCAAAAAAAAAAAAATCCTTTGATGAGCCTCGGGCCATTCCTGCACACCTGTGCCTAATATGCATGGGCAAAATACCCAGACGCAAGCAGTCACTGGATAGAAGAAGAAAATAAATGAAAAAAAAAAAAAAAAGATTTCCTTTGTGTTAGCAAATGTGGAAGTTCCTCTGCTTTTCATCTATCTCACTTAAAGTAATAATTCCAGCATCTGGAGAGAAGAGGGATGCAGTAATATAAACCTACGCTCAGACTTTAATGCTTACAAGCACAATAACTGCAACTTAAGTTGAAATTTAGTAGAAAATGTAACTTACTTGATTAAATCAAAGCAAAATAACCCATACATGTGATGTAAAATTGTTGGATATTGAAAGCAGGCGTGTACTTCTTTGTGTTAAAAAAAAATGAAGTCATAAAAAGGAGCTGCGACTTACCAGAACCTCTCTTTGACACGACTTTCAGGCAATGGACCACAAGCGCATGAAGCAGGATCAGAAGAGGGATGGAAGCTTTCATTTTTTAACAGTCCTAAAGGGAAACAGAGGTGAGAGTTATCATTCCACACGGACACCGGGTAAACATAAAAAGATGAGAAAGGGTTCTGACAGCTTAATCAAAGCTACACACCCAGAACTCACAAAAATCTCGAGGTCGGCCAGAGAAAGGAGGAAAAAAGCTCAGGCATCTTTATGTACAAATTTTATCCAACTACCTTTATTTCATTTTAATGCGAGCAGAGACTTACTGTCTGCTCACAAACAGGCCAAGACCGACGACGACACTGGCATCAAGAACAATCTGTCTCAAGGCAAACCTGGCTTTGCTGTTTGGAACAACCAACAACTCCACTCTGAACCGACATGACACAATCAGGTGCTGCTAAAATCAAGGTATCTTTTTATTGTTGTTACTGTTAGGGAAAGCATACTGAGAATGACTCAGTGAACACAGTGCCTGCTGTGATGGTAACTGTGATAATAAACGGCAAAACTTTGTTCTAGATACAAGCCAAGTTAATGGGAAAAGTAATAGTAAAACTCACTATAATTTAAAAACTTGCAGAAGCCACAACTAACTGTGCTATTTCAACAGATGAGGGAATTGCTGGGACACAAGTACCAATCAAGTTTTACATCAATTTGTACTCAGATTGCAGAGGCAAATAACATGTTGTTAAACTTGCAACTTCCATGGATTAGTTAATGTATTATGGCAGGACAACCTGTTCTCTTTGAGAACAAAGATAAGGCAAATGTTTACAGGCAACGATTTAAACTGTCAAACCTAAAAACATTGAACCAAGTGGTGCAAGCAATTCACACATTAGTCCTCAGTCTAACCCAAAAACACAACTTCTCCTCAAGGAGCCCGCGCTTTGGGTTCTCATTTGTTGGAAAATGCTAAAACCCATACACACATACATAACAGCCTGCTCTTTCCATGTAATATCCCTCTTCATTAAATTTTCTACAACATGTTATACTCTCGAGGGTTGGTGAAAATCTCTGACCATTTTTTTTTCATTAATTTCAAGTTTTTGTCCAGTTTTGACTCTGAGCAGTTTGATGCATGATTTAGGTCAAGCAAAATATAGTAATTTCTCCAGACATATGGGACAGAACCAGGTAGCTGTTTAAAACATGCACACATGTGCATGTTTTTGAAAGCATGTACACATGCATGCTTTCACACACTCGTATAGTGTGTGATCAACAAAAGTGTTGATCACACACTATACGAGTATTTTTAGCTGCTTTGAGGATGGACCTGAAGGTCACTGTGTCTAATGAAAACACAAGAGTAATCTCAAGAAGCTCTGCTGCAGCTGCAACATGCATGCGCCAGGTGTTTGGTTAATCGCTTGTTACTATATATGTACAGAAAAAAAATGAGGAAAAAGATAAAAACAACTTTTATCTAACTGTAAATGTTTCCCAGAGGCAACAGAGTTGTCAGTTTCTCTTCACGACACACCAACTGACTGTATAGCTCTTGTTTGGCTCCTTGTTGAAGAACTATGTACATGCAAAGCACATCGGGATGTCCATGCAATATACAAGGACACTTCCACTGGCATTTCAGGCATCACAAAGGTACTCTACATAGATTTCACAATGCTGCATCAGAAAACAGCCCTTGAGAAACTGAGTTATGTGAAAGTGGCCAGCTGCCAAAGATTGCGACATTGGCAGTTTCTCCTCCTCAAAGCCCCACTGTCATCAGTTCTTGCATCATGCAACACATACATTCTCACAAATACAGTCACTGTGACACAAAAATCCTAACTTTATTATTATTCCATTTTGAAAGCAACATTGGTTGATTTCAAACAGATGGGAGATGACATCTCTTCTGTTTGGTGTTTCTCTGGTTTGTGTCTTGTGTTATAAGGGATAAAAATTAAAGCACATAAAAAGTTTGTTTTCTTCCTTCTCGAAACAACTGACGACAAGGCACTGAAGTATTAGATCTTAAAAATAAAGAGTGCTTATAATAGCTTGTCATGTCAGCCAACTCAATGGTCCATCCTCAAAGATGGACCTGTCACCTGCCTCTCATTCTTTGATTGTTTTTATATATTTTTAAAGCATCCACCTTCTCCTGTTTCCAGACAGTTTTTCCTCCAAGGCGGATTCATCCAAAATTCAATTACCTTTGAGGACGACGCGGTAAGAGAAATGGGGCACTCTCTCAGCCCCCTGACGGCAAGGAGTTAGCCCTGGAAATGCATCCCGCCTTCACTCTCAAACATTTCCACCACTCTACCACTGAGGCTCTATTTACTGCATCCTGCCAAATGGATATTGAGATTCTGTTTTTTTACAGATCTTATTTCAGATCTCTCCTACTCACTTTTTTTTTAATCTGCGTACCCTGAAGAGCCCCGTGCTCAGTGTGAAGCAGCAGCGAATCAGTGCATCTTCTGTTAACTAGATATCAAAAATAAAATATAAACTCGCAGAAGGAAATAATAACAGATTATTTTTGTATAAGCTCTTTCTGGTGGCTTGAAAAACTGCAGTGCAAATGCTGCCTCCACAAACCTGCGTTTCAAAAGGAAGAAATTACATAATTACCTATTTGTAATGGTAATAATGCACATAGTGCCAACACTAGAGTGGAAAAGAACTGAGCTAACAGGCCTGGCTATTATTTTTTGTATATGCCTGTCAGTACAGTATTCTATATGAATCCAGCAGAACTATCCACCTTCTGTAGCTGTACTCAAAAACCTTTCAAATGTCCTCCCTTGTGACAAACGTATGAAATTATGACGTAATGAGAGCAAAGTTATTCACAAATCATCTTTGTCCTTCAGGCGCAGCTTGCCAAGGTAAAGACAATACGCAGGTCTGAGCAGGAAACTAATTTGTGTGAATGTTGTCCGTTTTACTTAAAACCTCTTTCAAATATTTAGGTACAGAGGTGACTATTTAATTATACACCGCATATAGATTCCAGCCATTTTTGACATTAATTTAGGAACTCAAACTCATCAAAATCTAAATAAAGGATCTAAGTGTTAGTCAATAAATGTCCTCCCAAGGTTTATGTAGCATAATGAATTTCCTCTCCTCTCCAAACAGATAACTAGCAACAACATTTCTTTTACACTAAAAAACACAAAAATATGTGCTATGTAGCCTCAAGTACAATAGCAGTTGTTCAAAAATACGAGAATTGTTAGAGACGTTATGCATCAACTTGCATGAGGCAAAAGTAATGGTAACTCTACGTAAGTCTCAGTATGAATATACCATCTCTCCATCTCTGTCATTACACCCCTCTCCCTCTTCCCTGTGTCACCTTTGTGTCTCCTTCCTCCTACCTTCAGGCAGAAAAATTGATATGTACTCTGCTTGGCGAGTTAACATTTCTATTTGTGAAAAACACTTCTTAAGCCCTCATACCCTTGGCTGACGCACACACACCCACCCACACAAGTCTGTGCTCTCCTCGCTGAATTATTCCATTTTAGATTATCTAATAACCCAGCAAAAACAAGCCTCCATGTTCTTGATTCTTGCAAAGAGAAAAATTAGAAAAAAAAATAGAATCAGACATATTTTTAATGTGCTTAACTCTAAAATTGTCAGAATTTTATTTATTTCAATAATTATTTTTACCTAGAATGTGGACAGGCCTTTTCTTTTGAATGGTAAGCACCTTACACTACTGGAAAAGAAATTACCAACAGCTATGCTGTGTAGACTCATCGAATGTGTGTAATATGAGGGTATGAACAAAATAGCTTTCAAAAATGTCCCCTACAGTAGTTGAGTTTTGCAACTGGTAACTTTAAAGCATGAAGATAAGTTTAGTTAAGCATCCAACAAATTCTCACTATGAATTGCTGCCTTAGCACTATAGAATAACAAGACCTTGTGATACTTGTGTCAAAAATTTAGATTAACCCAAATTGTAGTTTTTTTTATTTCCCATCATCATGTTGTCTTCACCATTTTCTGTCAGCTTTAAAATATATATCAAAATGCAGGCAGTGGAAGTCAATGCAAATGGCCAATCAGATAAGTGATATGCAAGACATGAATGCAGAGAGCCTTAATACTACCAGCTTTCAAAATATTCCATTCTAGCAATACTTTCCGATTTCAATGTTGGACATTTTGATATTGGGTTGTCCACTGTAATACAATGTATTGTGAAGCTCCATGTATTTCAATGGCAAATTGACCACCTTACCAAATTGACTGAATGTTGTTTCAAAGTCCAGTTTGTACTGTTTATAAAGCCAAGGATACAATCGAGAAATCCCTAATGCTTAACAACTGTAAGATAAATCATGATGCAAGTTTAAAGAGCATAAATAGCCAAAGAAATGGTAAAAAAAAAAAAAAAAAAAACCCGAGGCTCTTTTCCACAATACAATAATGTGATCTAAAGTAATTTATACTTACTTGATCTGAAGCCAATATTTGTAATTTGTTTGTGGTTGAGCTGCATGCCAACTAAATATTTTACCCTGCACAGTGATGAGACGAGGATGACATTAGAGGAACGAGGCTCTCTGGATATTACAGGTGAAAGCAAATAAAATCAACACAGGATGAATAAACACAAACGCCTAAGCCTGCCATGAATCAGAAACGGCTGAAAGCTTGGTGTCACGGTCCACCAAGAGCGGATTTTACCAAAGATGGATTCCAGGCATGCCAGACCAGAAAGAATTACCTGTTCCACAATAGTCACATTGCAGAAACTCTATAGATTAATAGTAAGGATGACAGTGTCAACATGACAATGATTCCAAACACACACAACCTTCTGTCAACAGGGTATCATTAATAGTCTTCCAGAAACTACAAAGAAAACTATATATAAAAAGTACTGGGCGTGTCAAAGATGGACATCTACCTGGAAACCAACAGATTCAAATGAGCTCTTCAAATTCAGTTGAGAAGAATGGGCCAATATCCAAAACTATGACAGAAGGTTGTCGATGGCAACAAAAGTATCTGGATTCGTGATGGTGGGTGTGTTTTGAGAAAATCCACAACAGATCAAAACTTT